ATTTCTAATAAAAAAAACTCATAATTTGTATAAAAATTGCTATAGAAAATAATTTCTTTATGTATTTTCTTCTTAATTCTTCTTAATTCTTCTTAGTTCTTAATTATATGTAGTAAAAATAAAGTAAAATATACAATATATAATTAAAATTAAAATTGCTATAAAAAGTCTCTTTATATTCTAAAGAGACTTTTATAGCAACTTCAATAGAAATTAATAGAACTTTTATAATAATTTTAGTACGTATTTTACAGACAATATGATTCAAAGTTATATTGAAATTTATTAGAACCTTTTTTCTTGGGGTTGCATTATTCTCTAAATTTTATTGACTTTCTTTTGAAAAAAACGTGTTAAAGAAATTTTTGAAAAAAACAACTGAAACAAATGAATTAAAATATAAAAACTAGTTGATCAGTTAAACAAAGTTTCTGTCACTTACAATAGTTGTTTTTTCTTTTACAATAGTTGTTTTTTCTTTTACAATAGTTGTTGTTTTTTTTTACAATAGTTGATTTTTCTTTTACAATAGTTGTTTTTTCTTTGATAAACATCGGCACAGGCTAAACAAAACTAATAATATTGTAACATTTGCGTTAAAAGATTTTTTTAATTAAACCTCATTTGATTTCAAACTTAATGAAAAGCCTATGGCAAACCTCATGTCAAAGTGAACGAGTCGAATACTGCATTTAGCAGTTTCAAAAGTAAAAAAAATGAAGGTTTTGATAAATCTAATGTTGATATCGTTAAATCAATATTTGATAATTTTATAGAACAACTTTATTGTTCAAAATATAAAGTTAACTTCCTAAATCAATTAAATACCTAGGACCTAGTTTGTAGAAAAAGCTTCCATTCATTGCTAACATGAAGAAGATTACTCTAGATCAGTTTAAAATAAAACAAAACGAATAATTTTATTTATTATATTCAATATACTTGATTTTAAATGTTTCTTTTAATGGAAACTCAATCAAATGATAATAAGATTATTTTAGCAATAATACTCGATTATTGCTATTTTGCTAAATGTTGGTATATTTCATTAAAAAAAAACTAAAGATGTGATTTAGACTCACGTTTACCCCAACAAATGTGGGTCTATTGACTCTAAGTCAAAAGTAGTTTTAAAAAAGGCTTAAATTATCCCCACCCTACCGTAGGTTTATTATTTTCTTTGGTGTTTGGTGAAAACTTTGTTTTCCATGGTGTTCAAAGTTATCAAATTTGAAAATAATAAACCTACGGTAGGGTGGGGATAATTTAAGCCTTTTTTAAAACTACTTTTGACTTAGAGTCAATAGACCCACATTTGTTGGGGTAAACGTGAGTCTAAATCACATCTTTAGTTTTTTTTTAATGAAATATACCAACATTTAGCAAAATATGTTCTTATGCATATTATTTAAATTATTTATAATAGTTTTTTAATAAATTATTTAGTGTTTTAATAACTTATTTATAATAGTGTTTTAATAGATGCGTTATATACAAAAAACCTTTATACGTTTAAAGCATCAAATAAAATAATAATAATAATAATAAAAGATAAATTTTTTTTTTTCCTTTTCTTTAAATAATTTTTTTAAATAATTTCTTTCTTTAAATAATATTATTCAAATTTTTGTAAATTTAATATTATTCAAATTTTTTTAAGCCTGCAATTAAGGTGTTGTTTTTACTAAATAAAGCTTGATTGTTAATTAGCAATTATTAATTAGCGTTAGTTAGCGTAATTGTTAATCAAAAGAATGATATCATTGAACCATGTTTCTATAGGTTTATTAAGATAATCATAAAAGATTAGATGATATTATACTTTATTATTGAAAGTAGTAGATAACGCTATAAATAATAATAAATAATTTACATATATAATTTTTTAATATAATCGAGATATATCATGGAATTGAGGTGATTACCTCCTGTTTCCCCTTAAGAGAAAGAATGGATTTTAAGTTTTTATACTGTTATTTTTTTATTTAATTTTATAGTATTCCTTTAGATCTTGGGTCATAAATTAATTAAATTTTGCGATTTACCTGAATAGTCTTAGTATTTGACAGAGGGTTTTTTTTGAGACAGTTTTACTAAACAAAATATTTTGAAATTTCGTTTTTTAGTAAGTTATTAAGTTATCCATTAATATTAAAAATGAACTAAGTTCAACTATATCTAAAACTATCCTTGTTTTTATTGGATGGGTTATTCTATCTATTTTATTCAAATAACTTCTTATTTTTTTTGTGACCCAGCAAACATTCTATTGTGGAATTTCAATGGACCTATATAGGCATTTTGAGTGATAAACTTAAGTTTTGCTCATCGGTTACTTAGTAGATCATTAGTGGCTGCCACCAAAAGTGGCTAGCCAATGACTAACTACTATATCACATGTTGGAAATTATCGGCTGGCCAGTTATAGCGTATGCTACTAATGGTCCACTAAATAACAAATAAAAAACTCAAACAAACCGCCTCAAATGTCTATATAAGCCCACTCCAAATCCACTACAAACAATGTTTGCTGGGGAGTGCTTGTCTATACAGTACTACCTTGGAAAGATAACTATGAACGAATATTACCTATGAAAGTTAAAGTATTACTTATGAATGAGGCTAAGGTTGTTTTTTTTTTTTATTTATTTAAGTCCCCCAAGAAGTCTTTCAATTTTATCACAGAGTACCGCCGACGAAAGTGAAACATATTGTGCAATTGATATTGAGAAAGGATCTTGATTTATACAGCACTATTGCAACAAACAATGTTTCCATAAAAATTTTATGATTTCTCTACGAAAAAATTTTATCAAATAAAATCTTTTAAAACTCTGGATACCTTTAATGAAGTACTTTTATTTTATTATATAGATAAACAATTTTTAATAACTATATTGAATGATTAATTGTTTTTCTAGTTTTATAAAAGAGATTTTTTCACATTTTAAGACTTTTATTATATTAAAAAAAAAAAAATTAAAAAATTCTAGTTTCATATTATTATTTTCGAATAGAACCTTTGTATTGGAGTGAATGCAGAAAAAACTTGTATCGTCAGCATACATTATAAAAAATATTTTAGATGAAGCTTCATGGCTATTAGTCATCGACCGAAACTCTGTTTCAGTATCGGTTTCGGCAAAAATTTAAATTTGAACCGATACCGAAATTTTGGTTTCGGTAATTTTTACTAATTCGGTAAAAAGCAAAATATCGGTTAAAAAACATAACAAAAACCGAAAAATTTGTAAGATATTATATTTTTATCTAATTTAGAAAACAGTTAATTTTCAGAATTTTCAAAAAATATTTTGAGAATTTTCACAAAATATTTTAATAATTTTCACACAATACCTCGAAAAAATCTTGTTTTGCTGAGAAAATCTGCGAGTTAGTAACCTTTGCTATTAACTTATATCGCCAACTTATGTGTTTAATCTAATTTGTGATACCCATTCTAACATAATGGGAGTATAAAAAACAACCAAAGGGATTAGAGTACCCGAAGTTTTGGTTTATTTCGGTTTCGGCTTTTTTTCTGTTCCGGTCGATCACTAATGGCTATAATTAATTTATATTTAAAACAATATGGTCCAAGGAATTATCTCTGAGGTATAATTATATTGTATAACTATACAATAAATTATAATGTTAATTAACTACGTCAGAAATTACAATAATTAATAGTTAGGAACGAAAACACTTAGTAATTTTTCTCATCCTTAGACCCCTTGGAGAAAAAAAGTTATTTTTAAATACTGTGCGCGTAAATGTAACCAAAATAATCAATATTAAATAATAAATAATAATCAATAAATATAATATAAAAACCAATAATAAATAATAATAAATAAAATCTAAACGTTATCAAAAAAGGTTTTGGAGTTTGTAAAATGTCAAATTTACAATCTCCTCGATTAGTTGTTTTGCAAATTGCAAATATTGAAATTAGACGAAACTAAAAGATGTTAAAAACACCTTTAAATTCACTTATATGGTTTATATAATGCTAACATAAAAAGATTTTTCTGGCCCTTCCATAAAATGGTTTTTTAAGATTGCGAATTTCACAAGGTGTGTTTCATATGCGTTCATAAATGCATGCCAAAAGTTTTTTAATAACAGAATGCATATTCACACGTTTTTTACGTGCGAATCGACGATATTTAGTTATGCTCATCGCACGTTTAATTTAATTCGCACGTTTAATAATAAAAAGAAAAAAGTTTTCCAATTTAATGAAACTTAAAAAACTATTTTATACATAACTTTTGAATTAATAAAAAATCTAGCGCAGTGCAGTATACATTCGTCAACCGACTAATAAGGGATTGACGCAGTGAAGCGTATAAATAAGAGTTTTGCCTAAGGCAGACAATATTTCAATTTAATAAAAAGCTTATTATATCTAATGTCTCTTTTATTTTTGAGTATGAAAATTTTATTACATTTAAGTAATTTTACTTTTTTACACTTATTTTAGATTAAATCGCTTTAAAAATAAATTACTTAAATTATAAATTATTATATTTTTGTTAATTTTTATTAGAAAAAAAAAATTAATTTTAAGCATATTTTCTTACGTGCGTATTGACTTTACTATATTTACTTTACTGTAATAAGATATAGTCTATTAGCATGTGTTTGCGAATAGGCTATATTTTATTATAGAATACATTTTTATTATAAAAAGGATTATTAAAATTATTAAGATTATTAAAGACCTTTAAATAGTTCTTTTTTTAAGAATAGACGTAAAAAGCTTGATTTATAAAAGATTTTAATATTCCTTAAAATATAAAAATTGTTTTATAAAACATAACGATTATAATCAAAATTATTTATATATATTTTATATTTTATTATAATTATTAATGTATTTTTTTCACGGTAAAACAAGATATTGTTTACAATAAAGAAAAATTCATTTTGCAATAAAATTATATTTATAAACTTCATATTCAAAAATTAATTATTCAAATAAAGTTTTTAATTACTTATTTTTGAAGTGCTTTCAGTCCTTATCTTCAGTCGTTGTTTTACAGTCGTTATCTTTCAGTCGTTATCTTTCAGTCGTTATCTTTCAGTCGTTATCTTTCAGTCGTTATCTTTCAGTCGTTATCTTTCAGTCGTTATCTTTCGGTCGTTATCTTTCAGTCGTTATCTTTCAGTCGTTATCTTCCAGTCGTTATCTTTGGAACAAAATATTAAAATAAATTTAATAAAGGTAGTTTTACATTTTGAAACAATTTTAGTACTAAAGGGTTCAAAACCCGATGCATATAATTTATATATTACATTAAAAAGCAAAAACTCGGATTTGAAAATCCTGAAATTTTGACCGCAAGATTTTCTAAATGAAACTGTATTATCAAATCGATTTGGAATTCACAGTGAAGTGGCAGTAATTTTATTCACATACAGACAAAAAAATTTAGTTACAATTAATAATCCATAATTTATATTTTCAATATATCTATAACAAAACATAAATTTAGTCAGTTATAAATAATAATCCATAAACCTCAAGGAAATTAATTCTCTCAACATTTATCAACTAAATATGTAACATAACTATTAAATAGTTATAACTGAAAAGTATTGATTATTAATTGATAATAAACAATTATATACAGTAAAACATATGCACACATACATGTATTATACATTGTATGTGTGCATATTTTATTGGATATCTGCCGCTCGAGACAAACTGTCCCTTTTGCCCCCCCCCCTCTTCTCCTCCCGGCGGCACTGTATACGTTTATATATATATATATATATATATATATATATATATATATATATATATATATATATATATATATATATATATATATATATATATATATATATATATAGTTTGTAGGCCCCTCAAATTGGGGGAGGGGTATTCTTAATAGGTCATAAAAACTGAACACTGAATAATTTAGATATAAAATTTGAAATCTGTCGATGAATACATAACAAGTTTATATTTATGAAAAAATAAATAATTCAACTCATTGCCCTCATGTTTATGGTAGGGGGGCTAAGAGTTTAGGGTTTCTTGTTACCATTCTCCTATCACAATAATTTTCTTTTGTAAAGAATCTTTTCGTCATACATATGAATGTAAAAAGACATGAAATATTCTTTTTATTTAAAAGAATATTTCATGTATATATATATATATATATATATATATATATATATATATATATATATATACATATATATATATATATATATATATATATATATATATATATATATATATATATATATATATATATATATATATATATATATATACATATATATATATATATATATATATATATATATATATATATATATATATATATATATATATATATATATATATATATATATATATATATATATATATATATATGTATATATATATATATATATATATATATATATATATATATATATATATATATATGTATATATATATATATATATATATATATATATATATATATATATATATATATATATATATATATATATATATATATATATATATATATACAGTGGAGAAAGAAAGTTTTCAAATATTTATTTATATGTATATAACACACTCACATATATATATATATATATATATATATATATATATATATATATATATATATATATATATATATATATATATATATATATATATATATATATATATATATATATATATATAATTTCTTTCCTGATTTTGAGCTTGTCAACTTTATTTCTGATGGTTTCATAAATTGGAATTGTTCAAAGGAGAGTTTGATAAATACGATCTGAAAAAAATTAATTTTTTTACAATATAATGTATAATACATTAAGAAAATTTTTCAACAGACACTCACTTATTTAATCAAATTTTAGCCAAAACCATCAATAATTTTGAACAAACACGAAGCTGGATTACATTTTTGGAAACTAAAATATCGACTAAATATCTTAATCGAAAAAACTGTTCTTAACAATATAAAATCAATATTTGATTTATGAAATTACTTAAGCAAACACATCTTGTTTGTAGGTTTTATTATGTTTGACAATTGTTTTCAATCCAGAACAAATAACTTAAAAAAAAAAAAAGGTTTTGAAAATTGATTTTTGCGCTTACAAAACTAAGGATCGAAATTCTTTTTTATATCAAGACCATAAATTTTTAAAAACTTGACATACACATGTCTAACTTTTTTATATTTAAAATGGAAAATAAAATATCACCGAATTTCAATAATAATAGTTAACGGAGTATTTAAATAATTAGAATTAAAGGTGGAAAGCAAGAAGCGAACTTGAGTGAAGTTCGACTTGAACTTTAAAGTCTGACTTTGTCAAGTTAGACTTCAAAAAAAAGCTTAAGCAAATGCGTAAACGAAACTTGAAAATTTCAAGATCTTAAAAAAGTTAAACTTGAAAAACTTAAAAGGCGTTGATTTGAAGGAGGAATCGGAAAAAAAAACTTTGCAACTAATAGCAGCAGAGTATTTTAAAAGGGAAAACCTTTGAAGCAAATTAACTTTATATTTTTGAACAGTATTTCTGAGTTTTGTACTTTAAAGTATTAACTTACAAAAATAAATTAAAAGATGTTACAAAATTAATAAAATCAACTTTAGTAATAGTAATAGTAATATACTTGAGCTGTGACCTTCGCTGAGTGTGACCAAGTACACTTGAGCTGTGACCGATAATTCGCTGAGTGTACCAAGTACACTTAGACAACTTTATCATTATTCAACATAGTTATTTAAAATCCATTTTTCAAGTTTAGCTTTGAAAGAATTCACAGAAACAGCATTAACGACATTAACGTCATTAACGTCAGCATTAACGTCTAATCCAGTAAAAAGAGGCAAATAACTGGTTATTTTGCATTATATTTCAATTATATTTCATTTAATAACAATTATATTTCATTTAATTTTCGACATATTAACAAAGTTCTCAGGCAAATCATTAATATAAATAATTAATAGTAAAGCGCCAATAACCAAGCCACTAAATATATTCTTCCAAGATGAGACAATTTCTCCCATAACAACTCTTTGTCTTCTATTTTTTAGAAATGCTTCAATCCATTTTAACAATGAACCAGAAATCCCATAATATTTAATTTTTATCAGTAGTCTTTTATGTGGCACTGAATCAAATACCTTTGCGAAGTCTAAATAAATTACATCTACATTCCAAGATAAATAATACGAGATTGCATCTAATGTCTCAATAAGGTTGGTTGAGCAAGATCTAATTTTTCGAAAGAAGATTATTTGCGTTTAGAAAATTCGTAATTAAATCTCGCACAACCCCTTCTAGAATTTTACAAGGTGCAGAAGTGAGTGAAGTAGGACGATAATTCAATGGGGACAGATTACTTCCTTTTTTAAATTGAGGACTAATATTGGCTGATTTCCTCTGAACAGGTAGTTCACTAAGAACGATGTAAGCTGTAAATATATGTGCAAGCGGTAGAGTTATTCCATATGCGCAATTTTTTAAGATTAAAGGTTTAATAAGATCTGCTCCAAACGACTTCTCTGTATTTAAACGTTCTAATCTATTAAGAATATCTTTGTATGAGATTGTATCAAAATCTAAATTTTTATTGATTCTTGACGCAAATGTTAGCAAATTAAAATTATTCTCAGGGATAAATACATTTTGGAACTTGTTATTTAGTAAACTTACAATCTGATTTGGGTCATTTGTCACTATTCCATTTTCATTATGTAAAGCTTTTATCGAGTTATTGATCTGTTGTTGTCTATTCACATATTTGTAAATTAACTTTGGATTTTTTTTAGCCAATGTCACAAGGTTTTTTTCATAACTTTGTCAAGCTTTTCTTGATTCATTTTTGACTTGTAAACCTTGCAAATTTTTTTGTATTTATTCACAAGAGAAGAAACTTTCCATCCTGAAGAACAGTTGCAAAATCTAAGGGTCTTTTTCAATTTTTTTAAGATCATTGTTTATCCAAAGTATTTGCTTTTTTTACTAATATCTTTTTTTTTTATTGGAATGTATAGTTTATACGCTGCATTTATGTAAAATATAAATATATTATAATTTTCTTGGACTGATTTGCCATTAAAACACGTTAACCAATCCACTTTGGAAAATAATCTATTAATTGAATCGAAATTTGCTTTCCTATAATCTCGTACAATTACATCCTCATTTTGTGATCTAACAAAATTTTCTAACTTAGAACTAAGTTCCCTCTTTCAATATTTCTTAGAACTGGATGTGATTCAATTTGGAATAATCTATTCTCTTGTATTGTAAATAATAAGTCAAGAGTATTTAGGCATTCATTGTTCGATAATTGAAACGTTGGAAAAGAAACGTGGTGAATAAGAAAGTGATCATTCATTTACATTCGTAAAATCTGTATTCATAAAAGTTTTCATTGTTTTTAATCAATTTTATAACACCTTTGGACCATTTAATGTTTAGAAAATTAAAGTCCCACATAATTATAATATCCTTGAAATTGTGTTTATCAACATAAGATCTTGCAGTTTTAAATACCTTATTAAAGATTTCCATATCAACTATTTCATTTGGTTTGTAAATACATCCTAATAAATAACTGTGGTTAAAGATAACAAATGCAACCCATATTTGCTCAATTTTTTCAGAACTCAGAATTTTATCCTCAACTTAATAGGATGCAAAGTTGTTATCTATGTATATTGCAACACGACCATCAATTTTACCATCTTTACGATCATTTCTGTACAAAAAGTAACCTTTTAAATTTGCAATCGAAGTCTCTCTGAATCAAGTTTCCGTTACTCCAATAATACATGGATTTACATCACTACATAATACCTTGAACTTCTCCCTTTTATTATTTAGAGAGGTTGCATTCATATATAAACACGTCATGTGGTCAATCAGCTTGTAGTTTCTTAAATTTGATAATTTTGTTTCCACGAATAGCATATCAAAATGTAGTATCAGCAGCAAGTTGAGAGTTTAGCTTTTGTATTTTATTTTAATTAAAACTTGGTAATTTAATAAAAAACAAGTCCAAGGATCTACCTACGACGTAGGTAGATCCTTGGACTTGTTTTTTATTAAATTACCAAGTTTAAATAAAAATAACGACGTTAGTCCAAGGATCTTATCGTTAATTTTATTAAAACTTGGTAATTTTATTAAATTACCAAGTTTTAATAAAATTAACGACGTTAGCCCAAGGATCTACCTACGACGTATCAGCTGCTTAACGATCAAATGACATATATGCTATACAGTTATCAGCATAGCATAGCATCAGCATAGTCGAACAACATAGCATCAGCATAGTCGAACACAAGGGTTTTATTAATCATTTTTTGAAATTTTTATTAAAAATAAAAAATTAAACTCCAAACAACAACAACAACAACAACAACAACAACACTATCAACAACAACAACAACAACAC